CCCCGCGCTGCGGCAGCGGCCCCGCCGGCCGGGCGGGCCGGGGGCGGTGACGGCGGGAGGGGCGCCGGGACAGACCCGCGGGTGCGGGGGCAGGTGYTGCACACGTATGTGTGTGTGTGTGCGCGCGTGTCGGCGCCCACACGGCCAGGAAGTGACACCGCGACGGCTCCGTGCACGTGTATGCACACGGACAGAGCCCACACCTCACGCAGAAACAGGACAGCTCTGTGKTCATGTGTAAGGACGCGATGGCATTTAAGTGCGTGTGCATATATGTGTTTGCACCTACCTGCCTAAACACATAATCACGTAAATAAGGCSTATAAAAATCGATACATAAACTTGGTTGAAAAGAGTTGTAAGTACCTAACRCGTGCGTGTATGTACGTGTGTGTGCGCACGCATTTCGGTATTYGTTGTGCCGGGAATGATGTGACAATCTTGCTTTCTTCAGTACATCAGATACACATATCTCATCCCTCTCACACCTCCTCCCCTCCAGACCGAGTAGGTCTGTCCTCCTGGGACTCTGTGTAGCACAGGAACAGCTTATTCCCAAAATCTCTGTCCCCACCACCTTCTTTATCTTCAGAGACTGAAAAAGAAAAAGAATGCAATAAATGCTTTGAATTGGGGAAYAGTGAAGGCAGGGCTCAAAGAGTGATTATGTCTGTTGTGTGGAGGATATAAAGCAATAGGTAGTGTGTGCATATAACARCATTATATTCCATAACACGCAGTGGAGGAGTTTCCCAGTGGAGGATCTGGAGGTGAATCTCCTCKTGCTCCCTGAAGACTCCATGGAGCAAAGTCAGGAGATATTGACAGAGTTGGCCCATGTGCGGTAGCCAATGCTTTTCCATCAACCTGCTTTGAACGGGGAGAAGATGAAAAGCTGTGAACAAACTGTCAGTGATGGCCTGGGAGGCCCAGGTGCCACAATGCCATCCTTGTTTGTTCCTGCCCTCCATCTTGTTGACCTTGCCAATCCAACAGTGTGATAACTTTTGGAGTTGGTCTGATCCTTTCCTGTGTGCAGATACCCAGCCGGGTCTGTTGCAGGAAAGGTGTTTGCTAAATTCCCTATCCTGAGAAGATCTGTATTGCGAAGTACTGTTGACAGAGTATTTCCCTGGAGGTCAGACATACTGGGGAATGTGAAGTAGGTTGAGCCTGAAGTGTTAAAGGTTGTTCAGTTCATTCCAAATTCATCTCCTAACTCCTACATTTGCCTGAGCAGTTGAGGAACCTCCAATTTATAAGTTATTGAAAAGTGTGTCCAAGCCTTCCTTTAGCAGCCTTCCGSAGTGGCAGACATGCCACTCCCCTGAACTATTGATGGCCCATCCATGGAACTGGGAAAATTCTGGAGTGCAGACAAACTGCACCCAGACATCTCATGTTGTGTGACACTTGCAGGAAACAAGTAATCTGTGCTTCACTGGGAAAATTACTCCAGCAGGACTTGCAGGGGGAGAAGCTAAGGCAGACAAGGAAATTTCTCATTAGCATATGGAGCAGGGCACAGAGAAACCTGATGRGACAGGTTGGAAGACTGTTCCTGCTCTGGTGCAAAAGCTGGAGGTCACAAAAACTACATCTGCAGCTTCAGTTCCCACAGGCAGTCAGGTGGAAYAAGGCGCTCCATGGTCACCCCTGGATGAATACTGAGGAGGGTGGTGGGGCACAGATGCAGARCTGAACCACACTGCCAGCCAGCAAATCGAGCCTTTGTGTGGGCTACATTAATGTTTTAAACTGAAAGGTCTCTGCATGGTGTTCCTGTGGCAGSTGGCAGCAGGAGCCGTGATCATTAATTTAACATTATGGGAGTTATTTACCTGTCTCATTTAACTGAGGTATCTACCCAGTGGGGAAAMCAAAAGGAAAGAGCAAGGTCTCTGCAAAGGGAGACCAGAGCCAAGCAGCCCCTCTGTGGCCTTGCACCACTGCTCTGTGAAATGGTACAAGATTAATGAAGGAAGTGATGAGAAAGCTGTTTCAGCAGCGAGGAAGATGTAATAACTGAACACGGGGAACTTTGCTGGTGGTGCTGAAAGCAGTGAAATCTGTCACAGTCTGTGTCCATACCGTCTGCAGGTCAAAAAGCTGAAGTGRTGGATTGAGCTCTTCTTTTTCATACCCAGGCCTTCTCAGCAACCAAATTATTTGGTTAGTCCAGTATGGACTCCCGATGGCTTGAACTCAAGTTTTGAGRGAAAACAGGTAGGAAAACTACTTGCAGTGGAGACTTCCCCTATATCTAGGCCACATATTCCATGACTGACAAAAATGGAAAAAACTTGGTCCATGATCTCTCTTGACACATTCCTAATAAATTCCTGTTTCTTAGTATCTTAAATAGTAGAAACATATCAACTTYTTTTCATTATTAGACTTTCTCACCAGTTTGCCGAGTGCAAACTGAACTCATCTGCCATCTCCCAGACAGGGCCCTCCTGTCCTTTTCTTTGGAGCAGGACTGGCTGATCCACTTACAGCACATAAAGACATCCTAGAGTGATGCAATGACTTTCAAATCAGGGAGGCATTAGGCTATGAAAAACAGRCTGACCTTTGGCAGATATTTCTCCTTCACAGTCAGCTGGAGAGCTGCATTCAGGCTCAGCCATTTACTGGATGCAGCATTCAAAGCTCAGGTCCAGCAGCAGCYCTGAGCTCCATGTGGAGCAGGGCGTAGCTGATGAGGGGCATCTCAGAYTCATCTTGTGGTAGAGAAGCATCTGCCACTAGCTGGAGTTTCAGAGCTGAACTCCCGTTACAGTACTCATTTGATGTTGTTTGGGGCTGGCAGGAAGGTGGTGGTTTTTGTTTCGGGTTTTCTTTTTTTTTATTTCTAGTAGGATATTATTAGCCAGTGATTTTCTTGTTTTTACTGAGTTTGCAAAAAAAGGAGTTACCTGTGGTTCTACGAAAAGTTCATATGTGTATTGTTTACTTCCATTTAAATGCAGCAGAATTTTAAGGCCAAGTGTGGCAGAAAATGTTACTGAAATTGAACAAGTGCACAGAAGCATTTCTAGAAAGATTAGGGGAACAAAAGACATATCTTCATAGGAGAATTAAAAGATTTTGCCTTGTTTAGTATAGCTCTGCAAAGACTGAGTAGGGCTGTGGTAACACTTTATAAATATATCTGAGAAGTAAATGTCAGGGAGGRATATTGACTTCATCACATGATCAAATGGCAGTACAGTGAATAATCCTGAATACATCTGCACTGGAAATCTAAAGGCTTCCAGATATATGATGAAGGAAGAGTTTGAATACTCTCCTGAGCACTGGAAGGAGTAGCTTGCAGTCTGGTATCATGGAGCCTGAGAAGTTTATGAGCATAATTTTACAACACAATGGAATAGGAAAATGCCTGAAGAGAGAAAATTAGGCTCATATTATGAGTCCCTGGGCATCTGGTGTGTCAGTATCCCCAAGAGTGTGAGAAAATAGATTAGATCACTGTCAATTTGCATTATAATAATTCCATGCCTCAGGGCTTCCACTGGAGTTGGGAAAGATTTTATYTTATTCTTCCTGATGCATGATTTGTCCTCTACTGCTCTTTTATTTTGTCATCCTCTGCAGGTCTGAAGATAGATTGTTATAGGTGTCATTAAAATCTTAGGATTCCTGCACCCTGCTGATATACTCAGGATTAGGTCAGCCTCTAGGCCTGGAACTCTTTTAAAGGAGTTATTTACCTAGGGCRGCTTGGTAGGCTCCATTGATTTCATTAATAGCACAGGACACAGCCTCATTCCTAGAATCAAATGGAGTTACATTTAGCTAATTCTTTGCAAACATGYGAACACATATTTTTTCAGCAAGCAAGCTATTTGTTAACCTCTGCCTCTTTTGCCTGAGTTGTCCCAATGCTTGCAAATATCTCACTGAGCACCTCTGATTGTTCATTTTTTGTCTGCCTCCTTTCATCCTCCAAAATGACAACATAACTTATTTTTAGAAGAAGAGTATTTTCAGCAACAAACATCAAGAATGAAGAAAGACACAAAAATGTTCACTCCTGGAATGTTAAAACCTGTAGAGGTACATGTGTGATTCCTACGTTCCTGTTGTGACATCCTCYGAAATTACCTTTCTCTTTGTTGGAAGTTCATCAGGCAATGCTAATCTCTTTTACTGACTTAGATAAACAACGTTCTTGAGGTGACTTCCACTCAACAGGCATGATAAGCCCAGATAAATGCAAAGGATACCTGGGTAAATGAATGGCCATTGCATCACAGTGATAGCTTTTGAGAATGAGCAAGGTAAACAATATCCATGGAAATATGAGTGGCTGTCTGATTTTTAAGTCTGCACAGCATTGGAAATGCTCAGGAGCAGCTTTTTATGCTCAYGGTGTTCACATTCATTTATTGCTACTTACTGACTAAAAGACATTTGCATCTGGCAATTCTGAATCATGGAACTCTGTGTCAGAGGTGACCTTCTCATATACTCACACAAGTATTTTTAAATTCTTGCACTCATACACAAA